CCTTAGCCGGTTGAGCTATAGGCACCGAGCCAGTTTCCTGAATGTTTAATAGACTCTCAAAAGAATGTACTTTGGACAAGGGGGCAGGGTATGGCATGACTATAACAGCTTAATGGCATTATATTTGATCATTAGAGATTTAAAAAAACATATGAGCAATTTCATTTAAGCATATAAAAATCTTACCTTAGTTTTTTCATCAACAACTCTAAGTCCATCTGCTGAGACCCACAAAACTGCCTTAACTGCTTTCTTTCCAGTCTTTTAAGAGAAACAAAAAAGAGAAGGAGGGGAGACAAAAATATTTTTAATATTAAAATAAGTCACTTCCACAGAAAACACTGACTTCTATTTTCCAAAAGTCACAAGTACAGATGGAGTCCAAGTTCAGGAAGGGTGCCCAAAGCCAAATACTCAAACCAAACTGGAGAAACATTCAGGAAAAAACAAGCCAGAGCCATTATTTTAGAAACACAATGCAAAACAATAAGATAAAATTAAGTAATGGAGAAAGGGCAGATGGAATAAAAACTAAGATATCACATTCCATAAAGGGCAAAGAATTCATAACTAGATTCTTTACCCACTTAAAAAATCAAGAAAACCAAGAGTTAGGTAAATATTAAATACATAAGGAGTTACACCACAAGTAGCTTCTACAAGCGTACTTAGAGTTAACATATAAATCTAAATTGAGATGCTGACCATTCCACTATCCTCTGACCCCAATGTGTATAGCAGGACCCTTGGTTACCTAAAATTTTCATGTTACAAATGCAATAAGTCTTCATTATTCTATTCAATTTTTTTCTACTTCTTGTAAAGTTCTTCTTATCGAATAATACTCTTATAAAAACCATTATTTCTTCTCTTGGGATTATCACAGAACTGGCTTTAAAAAATTTTTTTTAAATCTATTTTTCTTCTAGAGATAGGGTTTCACTATGTTGCCCAGGCTAGAGTGTTGTGTCTGTTCATACAAGTGGGATCACAGAGCACTGTAACCTCAAATTCTTAGGCTCAAGCAGTCTTCCTGCCTCAGCCTCCCAAGTAGCTGGGACCACAGGCACTGTACCTGGCTTTGGTTTGGCTTTTAATTTAATATTAAATAAATGGAGTCATTTGGGGGACATATGAGGATTTAAAAACTCTGAAAAAAATAATTTCATATAATGAATCTTCTTTTTACTGGCAGAGAAAAGACTTTTTAGGCATATGGGAATCATATGAGTACAAGCTGTTATGATTTCTCCAATGATGGAATGTAAAAGTAAAGGAGCAGTTAAAAAGAAAGGATGATATAGCAAAATTAAACAAAGCAAAACAAAGGCTGAGAACAGATATTAGGTAATCATAAGAAGTACAGATCATAGGTGGGCGCTGTGGTGAGTGCCTATAGTCCAAACTTCTAGGAAGGCTGAGACAAGAGGATCACTCGAGCCTGAGAGTTTGAGGTTGCTATGAGCTATAATGCTACAGCACCCTAGCCAGGGCAACAAAAGTGAGACTCTTCTCTAAGTTAAAAAAATATAGAGAGATATCAAAAAGGTGCTAAGACTGGAGCAGCAGCCTCTAAGAGAGAAAAATAAGAATAACAGACACTTTCTACCATTCTCCTCTGTGTCTAAGCCTAGGAATTCCTAATAAGGGAGGCCTGGCCTTCTTTAAATGAACTGTTGAGATCCATTTGGCTTCATCATCACTACCCTCAACACAAATTTGATGAATGCCTATAATATGCCAGCCAGTGGAGATACTCAGAAGAGCTCACAGTCCACTGAAAGGTGACACTTATTACTATATTATTTATTTTTTGTTTATGTAAGTGTTACAGAAGAGCTGAGAACAAGACACGATGATGCCAGAAAGGAGGTATAATCAAATCTATTAGGAAAGGTTACAAAGGAGAAGACTGATCTGGGTCCTGAAATGATCTTTTTTTTTTTGAGACAGGAGCTTCAAGCTGTCACCCTGGGTAGAGTGCTGTGACATCACAGCTCACAGCAACTCCCAACTTCTGGGCTCAAGCGCGTCTCCTGCCTCAGCTTCCCAAGTAGCTGGGACCACAGGCACGCACCACAATGCCTGGCTATTTTTTGGTTGCAGCCACCATTGTTGTTTGGTGGCCCAGGCTGGATTTGAATCTGCCACTTTGGGTGTACGTGGCTGGCGCCTTAGCCACTTGAGCCATAGGCGCTGAGCCTGAAATCTTTTTTGACACCCTAGGTGAGAGTAGGGAAGCAGGGAATTAACAGAGGTAGCGGACAAGTCAGGCAGAAGAAACAGCAGTACTGGACACGGAAGCAAATAACACAGTAAGTCTGGAGCTCTACAAAAATTTCAGTATGGCTTGCTAAGCAGGCTGGGTGAGAGAGGAGCAAGGAGAGATAAAGAGTAGGAAAGGCCTGGTCTTGAAAGGCATATACCCCAGGAATTTAATCTTAATTCTCTGGGTAATTAGATGCCAAGGAAGGAATTAAAACACAATGTAAGAGATTTACATTTTTAAAACATCACTTTGACAGCAGTGTAGAAGGGTTGGAGAGCCTGGCCAAGGAAGCAGGAAGACCACAAGATTGTGGGTGTTGAGAAAATGTTGAGTTGAGCTCCCTTGGCTAAGATAGGTATGAAGATGAAAAGATTTTACTTAAAGGGAGGAGTTGAGGTTTTCTCTTTGGTTCCTGGGTAAAGAGGGTACCTACCACTAACCAAAATAAAGAACAGAACAGATGAAAAATCAAGTTTGAGAGAGGAATAGGACTTCAGTTTTAGTATGCAAAATCTGAGATGTCCATATAAAATCCAGGTGAAGACATCAATAGATAATTGGATATATAGGTCTGTAACTCAGAAGAGAATTCTAAGATGGAATTTTAGAACTGGGAGACATTAATGATCAGAGTAATAAGAAGCTAAGGACACTAAAACACCAATAATTAAAGAATTGGGAGAGAAATGAATAGTTCATTGAAACATGAGAAAAGGCATAGGATGAGGGACAGGAGAATGGAGAGAAAGTAGTGTTACTGAAACTAAGGAGAAGAGTTTCAAAAAGTAATGGATGGTCCACAATGTCAAATGTTACACAATGATCAAGTAAGCAAAAATGTGAAAAATATCCACTGGATTGGCTCATGCCTATAATCCTAATACTCTGGATGAAGCTGGTGGATCACACCTAAACTCAGGATTTAGGCACCAGCCTGAGCAAGAGACCCCCCGTCTCTCCTAAAAGTAGAAAAACTAGCCAGGAGATTTGACTGCTGCCTGTAGTCCTAGCTACTCAGGAGGCTGAGGCAAGAGGATCATTCGAGCCTAAGAGTTTGAGGTTGCACTCTACCCTGGGCAACAGAATAAGACTCTGTCCCCCAAAAGGAAAATATCCACTGAATTTAAAAAATGAAGGTAGGGGGCACCTGTGCTCAGTGGTTAGGGTGCTGGCCGCATGCTCCAGGGCTGGCGGGTTTGAACCCGGCCCGGGACCTGCTAAACAAACAAACAAAAAAACAAAAATAAATAGCCAGGCACTGTGGTAGGCACCTGTAGTCCCAGTTGCTAGGGAGGCTGAGGCAAGAGAAT